TGCACAGTTCAGACCCACCTGGAAGCACGTCAGAGGACAGGCCTGGTGATCTGCTTTTGAAAGGTCACATCCTTGGAAACCCTATGGAACAGTTCTACTCTGTACACATGGGGTTGCCATGAGTAGGAATTGATGGCAACTAACAACAACCAGAAGAATGGGGTGAATATAACTAAAATGAAGGTTAAATTTAGGGCAGTATGAGGCACACATGGGGGGCCTGGTTGGAAACTCGTTAGGATATGAGGGAATAAAGCAGAAAAGTGAGGTGAGAAGTATACCCAACTAATTTATTTAAAAAGGCTAATACATCTAACTGAAAGGGAAAAGAAACTCTTCTCTTCTCTCTTATATTATGGGCAAAATTTCCTTTCCTTGTTAATATTCTAGGCTCTTTGTTGCAACTTTTCAACTCTATTGTTGTAGCGTGAAAGCGACCACAAATACTTAAATGAATGAGTGTGGTTGTGTTCCAATAAAACTCTGCTTATTGACACTGAAATTTGGATTTCATAATTTTCACATGTCATGAAACAGTATTCTTTTGATTTTATTAAGCTATTAAATAACGTAAAAAACATTCTTAGCTTGTGGGCTGAACCAAAATAAACAGCAGGCTGATTTAGCCAGCAGGCTAAAATTTGCTGACCCTGATAAAGATTCTTAAATATGCCCAATATTCTTTGTTAATGTGATTTAACAAAAATTGGAATTTACTCAATATTTCTAGTTTTTTTTTTTTCAGTTTTATAATGCTAGGCTTTTAAGCTTAGTTGAGTTTTAAGTAGGTTGGGTTAAATGGAAATTCAGGGATGACCAGGTCCTGATGTACCTTTTGCAGGTAAGTACAATTTCTTTGTTACTATAAAAATGATCTGTACTTTGGGAGAGAAAATTATTTATTATCCCACAAATATTGTAAATGCCAGTAGGGAAGGTTCATTCCTGGATATGCTAGCAAATTGATTTTATAACTTTATATAAAGTATTTTGTTTTCCCCTTTCTTTGTTTAAAAATAAGAATCCACGATTCCTGTCAGCCACAGGGCTATTGTATAGATTAATGAAGTAAAGTTCACAAAACACGTTGATATTTGTTAAAGTGTCCAAATGTTTGTAATAAGTCACTCAGTTTTAATGTTTTAAAAATATATAGTTCTACAAAGCAAACTGCAGTTGTTGGGGAAAATTTAAAAATCCGGAGCATTTGACATTGTTAAGCAAAGATTTTTTCTTTAATTTTTTAATTGTGCTTTAGGTGAAAGTTTACACCTCATACAAAATTTCTCATACAAAAATTTATACACGTATTGTTATGTGACATTAATTGCAATCCTTATAATGTGACAGCATGCTCCCCCTTTCCACCCGGGGGTTCCTTGTGTCCATTCAGCCAGTTCCTGTGCCTTCCTGCCTTCTCATCCTGCCTCCGGACACGAGCCGCCCATTTGATCTCCTATATCTGCTTGAACTAAGAAGCACACTCTTCACAAGTATTATTTTATGTTTTATAGTCCAGTCTAATCTTTGTCTGAAGAGTGGGCCTCGGGAATGGTTTTAGTTCTGGGTTAACAGAGCGTCTGGGGGCCCTGGCTTCGGGGGTTTCCCCAGTTTCAGTCAGATCAGTTAAGTCTGGTCTTTTCATGTGAGTTTGAGTTCTGCTTCACACTTTTCTCCCACTCCATCAGGGCCTCTCTTTTGTGTTCCCTGTCAGGGGGATCATTTTTTTATGGTAGCCGGGTACCATCTAATTCTTCTGGTCTCAGGCTGATGAAGTTTCTGGTTTATGTGGCCCTTTTGTCTCTTGGGCTAGTATTTTCCTTATGTCTTTGGTGTTCTTCATTCTCCTTTGCTTCAAGTGGGTTGAGACCAATTGATGCATCTTAGATGGCCACTCGCTAGCTTTTGAGACCCCAGATGCCACTCATCAAAGTGGGATGCAGAACATTTTCTTAATAAACTTTGTTATGCCAGTTGACCTAGATGTCCTCTGAAACCATGACCCCCAGATCTCAGCCCCAGCTACTCTGTCGCTCGAAGTGTTTGCTCGTGTTCAGGAAACTTCTTAGCTTTTGGTTTAGTCCAGTTGTGCTGACTTCCCCTGTATTGAGTGTTTTCCTTCCGTTCACCTAAGATGATTCTTGTCTACTCTCTAGTTAGTGAATTCCCCTCTCCCTCCCTCTCCACCCTTGTAACCATCAAAGAATGTTGTCTTAAAAGAAAAGATTTTATAAATGCTTTCTAGTTACATCAAAAAAAGGTTTCTGCTTTCTTTAGAGAAAAATTACTAAATCATATGGATGATAAAACTACTTTTGCATATTTTCAGGGTAGAATGAACTTCTCATTTCTTTCTTTAGTTTTAATGCTAAGTAGTTGGAGAACGTACTCTGTCTTGGGTACCCAAAGTGGAAAAACTTAGCGTCGTTTGTATTGGTAGGCCCAGTGAACAGAAAGTAGCAAAAAGGGGGCAAGAGAGGAGTGGGGGGAAAGTTGGTTAGCTTTGGGAGTATGGTTGTTCTCTCTGAGGTACTAGTTTATTAAATCCATTTATCAAGCAAGTATTTATGGAGTACCCACAGTATGTTTGACACGACATAGTGTACAGTTTGAGCTTTGTCCTGGAAAAGTGGGAAAGACAAATAATTATTAACAAATAGTTAACCTCCAGCAAATTAAATGTGCCTAAAATAATTTGGTAACAGAGCGTTGGGTGTCACTAACTCCTTCGTTTCCTAGTTGAGCATGAAGGGAATGTTGTTCCATGCAGAGGAAATAAAATGTACAGCCATAGAATTATGAAGAGCTAGAAAAGGAGTCTAGGGCCAGAATTTGAAGGCCTTTTATACTGTGCTAAGATGCTTAGACTTTATATAGCACAGTACTTCTCAGACTGTCTGTGGTGTAGGACCACGTTTATATTTCCAGTCCATTATCGGCTAATTGTTTTTGTAAAATCCAATAAAAATGAATTATAGAAAAAAAAAAGAAAATTCCTGGGTTTGCTAAAGCAGGTTTAGTGAAATAATTTTTATAATAAAAATGTAAAAAATAAAAATATTTAAACTACAAGTCCTAAATTTTTATGTAGATTGAACCAACACAAAATTAGTCTATAAGATTGCTATAAAAGTTCGTTAAGCACTCAGCTTCTGTACTTGTCTCATCATGACTAGTAACAAATATTTTGCCGCTGGTAACAATTCTCGGGCTGACACTGATACGTGAACAGTAGTGATTTTGATCTCTGTCATACGGGATCCCTGTAGAGTTTTAAGCAGAGAATGGCATAATTATGTTTATGTTAAAACACAATGACTTTATTGGCAGTATAAGTGATAATCAGGTTTCACAGTGGAAGGATAGTAACCATGGAACCCTGGAATCATCAGGATTTGAGGAATAGCTAGAAATATAGGAGAAAGTGAAATTGGCTTTCTTTATACTGATAATGATAATAAAAATAATTCCCTCATTAGACTATAAACTTCTTAAAGGCAGGAACCACATTTGTTTTGTTAACTAACATATAGTAGACACTTTCAAAAATAATTGATGAATGAATGAATGGGTTAGAGAGGTAAGAGAGAACCAGTAGAGTTGAGTGTTTAAAACCAAAATGAGGAAAGTTGCAGGTTAGAGGATATAATAAACAGAATCACATGCTGTGAAATCCAGGAAGATGATCATTGGAAATTGTTTATTAGATTTAATAATTCAAAGGTCCTTAGTGAGATCAACTTCAGCAGAGTGATAAAGTTAGAAGCCAGATTATAATGTGTTGCCCATCCCTATTATCTGATAAGAGAATGAATAGAGGTAGCTTTAAAATATGACATTTCATTAACTGAGGAAAAAAGTAGTGATAAATAATCTTTTCTGTCCACTTCGTATTGTGTGTGAATGTAAGATTAATAATAAATCTTTTTTTCTTCCATTTCAACAGAGGAACTAAATCTCTATTAAATGGAATTGAAATTAACTTTTAATGTTTGATTCTGGTTTGAGAGGAAAAATGAAATATAAATGATTTGCTTGGTCTTATTTCAGATCGATTTTTGATGAAGTAGTTTGCTAATATTTTTTATGTGATTCTTCATTAAAACCTTCCCAATAACATTCCATTTTCATCACAGAGTAAAATTTACTCTTGTTCTCTACTGTGCTAGGCGTGTAATTAGCTAAAAGTTGGTGGAAAAAATATTACGGCTTGAAAGTATGTGGGATATAACTTCTTCTGTAAAGTCATAGAGGTGGAAAGCATTTAAGGGCTATTAATAGAAAGGCCAGAGGTTGTGTGAAGTATCATTAAGAGTTCTGGTGGTGGCAGTGGCTAAAGCACTTGGCTGCTAATGAAAAGGCTGGCAGTTCGAACCCACGAGCTGCTCCATGGGAGAAAGGTATGACAGTCTGCTTCTGTAAAGATTTGCAGCCTTGGGAACCCTATGGGGCTGCTCTACTATGTTCTAAGGGGTTGCTGTGAATCAGAATCAACTAGACAACAGTGGGTTTGGTTTTATTTAGTTATTTATTTTTTTGGAGTGTCATTATAATAGTTAATTTAACACAATTGTCCTTTAGTTGCTTTATTTCTTATAATTAAGTTTTACTAGACTCTTTAGATTGAAGAAACATCCATTAAACATGACAATCTGCTTCATTAAGTGATGGACCCTCTTATACAGTGTCTGGTTGACTACTGGTACTTTGTCATCTTTTGATCATGTCTAGATGAAAGCTGTATTTGAAGTTTGCTTCTGTGATTGCTTTTAAAAAATTTTTTTATAATAAAATAGACTTTCAGTACTTTATCCCCACCTTTTTCCTAAAATGATTATGGTCATTTTATAGTATAGTAGATAATTAAAATCCAGGAGATTTAAGCAATCCATAATATTATGTGAAGGCCAGAATCTTCCTTATGTTGTTCTTGTTATTAAACATAAACATTCAACACTCTTTGTATTAATTTCAAAAGCTGTCTCTAAATCTTTACACAGATTGAAGACCAGCAAGAAGTGATCCTTGTCAGAACAGATCAGTCTGGAAGAGTATGGCCTGTGAACACACCAGGAAAAGCCCTGCAATCAAATGGAGGAAGGAGGAGGAGACAGATGGTATGTTTAACACAATGTTTTTATGAACTCAAAATTATTTTTTTCAAAATCCTTGGAAGTTTCTTTGCATTAGATTACTTCAAAATATTTTATAAAATGTACTTTCTAATGCAAACATTAGAAAATCATAAAATTATGTTACTCCTTTTATTCTTAATTATATCCCTTTGTTTTTACAACATATCATCTAATTCAACTACTTTTTTTTGTTTTTATGTTTTGCAACTTGATTCACTCTCACACTCATGTACTTCTGTATCAGTATATTTTAAGGCTGTTGTTGAGAATGTACACAGCAACACATACACCAATTTACATTTCTACGTGTACCATTTACTGACATTGATTACATTCTTAGAGTTGTGCAACCATTCTCACACTCGTTTTCTGAGTTGTTCCTCACCCATTAGCGTAAATTCACTACCATCTAAGATTCTATCTAATCTTTCAAGTTGTTGTTATTAATTTGATCCCTTATAAATAGTTCTTAAAGGAGCATAATGCTCAAGGCAGCCATTTTTTCTGCTTAAGCTAAATTATTGTATGGTTTACGAAGACTCTGGAAAATATTTGTGGTTTAAGGTTTGAAGATTATCCTAGGGCAGAGTTTCAGGGATTCATCCAACCTTCATGGCTCCAGAAGTCTGGAGTCAATGACAATTTAAAATTCTGTTTTGCTTTTTCCCCTTTTGATCAGGATTCTTCTATAGAATCTTTGATCAAATTCAACTAATTAAAAAAAAATAGTTAATTTTGAATGTTTAAGGCAATTAATTTTAGTATACATTTCTTTGATATTGTTTATGCATAAGCTTCTTCTTGCATACTTACCATAGCTCTTACGGAACTTTGATCTCCCAAACCTGTTATCTGTATTAGATAGCTGATTTGAGACGTGGTGATGGGGTGTCCACACACGATGATGTCTTAAGAAATTATGGAAGTGCTGTGATCCTTTATAAACCTAATTTTCCATCTTCTAGCTCTAGCAATTAGTTTTTAACCTTACCTTGAGGCTCTTGAGATGGCAAAAACAGCATACTGAGTTTTCCCAAGTTAGGTTTTTGTTTTAAATTTGCAAGCTGTGCAAATGGGAATTGGTGTACACGAAAGATCATTCAGAATTTTTCTGTCAAATATTCTTTTTCTACTGAGTGCCTGTGCTGCTAGAGATATTAATTTATTCATTCAGCAAATAGAAAGTGGGATGGATACCTCTTCTAATGTAATGGGAAGAATTAGGAGGTTGGAGGAGAGATGAGGCAGGAGAATAGTGAAGGCTTGAATTATTTGCTATGGAAATGACAGAAAGAACTGACAAGGAATCAATAGACACATTGCCAGAATGCACTGAGGGCCCTTTTTGAGTTACATATTAAACAAGCAGTCTAGCATAAGAGTAAAGAAGGTAGATACATTAATTCAAGATTGAGGTTTGCTCTCTGAGTATAGTGAAAGGACAGAAGGGTCAGGAATTGAGAGTCTGGAGCCAGGGAGTGATTGAATTCATAGAATATGAGATTTAAGCTAGTGAAGACAGGAACTGTAACGTTGGGACAAAATATTCGGAACATGGTTCCAAAGATCTCAAAGAAGTTGAAGATCAGGTTTTATTTGGGTAAAAGAATATAAGAGTACCATTGGGGACATTTGATTTGGGAGGAAATAAATAGCACTTTTCTCTTTCACACCTGGGTACAGAACCAACTGATAGGAAGAACCAGGATTGTGTTAGTTGGGGATCAGAATATCAGCTTTATTTCTGATAAAGCTATTTGGGGAACATGGGCTTAATAATTGTAAGTGGGCTTTCTAAGACTTCTCTTCTGTTTATACTTACACAATCTCTAGATAACTTCAGGGTTTCCTCTATGGTGGTAGGGAGTTTTTGCTACAAGGAGGAGCACAGCAGAAAGGAGAGAAGAAGACAGAGCAGTTCTTCTCTTTCCCCCAAAAGAATGTTTGAATATCAGCAATGTCATGCTTCCATCCCTGGGGAAGAGGAGAGAAAAGGGGCAGATGAAGTAAGAAGTGTTACTGTAGTGGAAGTTCCTTCACATGGAAGCAGGTAGAATAGGGATCTGGAAGGAAAGATTAGTGGAATTTTCACGTTTACCATTAAACTTACAGATAATCTATTAAAAATTCTTCAGATCTCATGTTTTCACTAAATCAGTAATGTTTATTTTGTCATAGGCTTCAACCCATGAAGAAAAAGAAAGGGTCAGATACTTTCATGATGATGATAATCTAAGCCTAAATGATTTAGTCAAAAATGAAAAGATGGGAACAGCAAGAGATCAAAACAAACTTTTTATGAAAATGGCATCTAAGGTAAGATATATTCATAGCATGTTTTTGAAGTTTGAGAAGCTGATTATTCAGTCTAGCAGTGATTTACTTGTAGAGAGCTGGTTCTCTCTAATCTTGATTTATTAATTTAAATCTTTTGTAGGACATATTCGAAACATACATTTTGGAATTGATTTGATTATGTAATATACATTTTGTTTGTTTTTAAATATAGAACTAGTTTAGTTCTTTAATGTAGTCCATGAACATTAATTATAGATTTAATCTAACATTTAATTTAAAGGAAAGTTTTAGGCCAGAGTTTAATGATTGGTAACATGCTGCAAGTAGGGTTACCAAACTGTCTTGTCTTAATGTTCCTTCAGTTCTTCATAGTTATGTCATCAAGAAGTAGAAGAATACTTGGAGTAATATATTATGGATTGTAGAGAAGGCAACTTGTAATCATAAGTCCACTTATATGAAAATATACGTTATCTTACTACATCATTATGGATAGTAAACAGAATGAAGTATTGTTTTCAAATTGTATTCTTTGTTGCAGTCTCTTCCTAAACACTACATTTAAAATATTTTGTAAACGAGACATTGTATTTGAACTTAATTTTATAGCAAAGGTTGGCAAACTATGACCCTGTGGGAAAAATTTAGCTCACCACGTGTTTTTGTAAGTAAAGCTTTATTGGAAAACGGCCATTTACATTTCTTTACATATTGTCTACTGCTGTGTTCCCTCTATAATTACCAAGTTGAGTAGTTGTAACAGAGACTGTATGGCCCACAAAGCAAAAAAATATTTACTCTCTGGCCCTTTACTGAAGAAGTTTGCCCATCCCTGTTCTATAATTCCAATGGTTACTTTTTTGGTAGTAGTGTGATTTGAACTAGGTATCTGGAGGACAGGAGTGGGAGGGAGATTTTTCACTGTATACCTTTTCAGATTTACAATATATATTTATTAACTATGTGAATGTATTACCTGGTCAAAAAATTAACTTTGTGAGAATTAAAATAAATTAAAGGTAACCAAAGTACGTGTCTGTCTGTGTTTGTGTGTATAGGAGTAAAATAAACAACTTGGATTTAAATTTAGAAATGGTCATTCTTCCTATCACCAAGAATTGTATGGGATCTTATAAATTTAGCATAATTTTACTCTCTATTTGGGGGGAAATAATAGGAATCTCCTAGGGTCTGGAAATTCAGTGCAGAAAGGAGGACGTATATATATGTGTGTGTGTGTGTACTGATTGAATGATTGACTGATTGATTGTGCTTTAGGTGAAAGTTTATAGAGCAAATTAGTTTCCCATTTGATAGTTTGTATATAAAGTGTTCCATGAATGATACTGGTTGCATTTCCCACAGTGTGTCCGCACTCTTCCAGTTTCTGCCCTGTGTTCTCCATTTCCTTTCATCTGAATTTTCTACTCTTTCCGGCCTTTTCACCTTTGCTTTTGGGCAAATGGTGTCCTTGGGATCTCATATAATTGATTGTTCTAAGGAACACGTTCTCTTGGGTTTTATTGTTTATTTTATGGGCCTGTCTATTGTTTGCCTGAAAGGTGGTCTCTGGGAATGGCTTCAGTTCCAGATCAGAAGGATGTCTTAGGGCCATAGTCTCGGTGGTTCCTCCAGTGTCTGTCAGACCAGTAAGTCTGGTCTTTTGTGAATTTGATTTTTTTGTTTTACATTTTTCTACCACTCTTTTTGGGACCGTCTGTTGTGATCACAGTTAGAGCAGTTGGTAATGGTAGCCAGGCACCATCTAGTTCTTCTGGTTTCATGCTCGTGTAGGCTCATGTGGTCCATTACTCCACTAGTCCTTTGGACTAATTGCTCTCTTGTATCTTTGGTTTTCTTCAGTCTTCTTTGCTCTGGATGGGAAGAGACCAATAGTTGGATCTTAAATGGCTGGTCGCAAGCTTTTAAGACCCTGGATGCTACTCACCAAAGTAGAATGGAGAACATTGTCTTTATAAATTGTGTTATGCCATTTGACGTAGATGACCCCTGAGTCTATGATCCTTTGCCTTTGGGCCTAGCAGCTTCATCCTGCGAGGTGTTTGGTTATGTCTGAGAAGTTTCCATGACTGTGTCCTTGTGTGCTCTGTTGTCTATATTAATATACATGCAGCACCTACAATTATGTATGTAGAAATATCCATAACCAAACCTATATGTGCAGGTGGGTGTGCTCCCTTACACTCTCCCACACCTTTAGCATACCTATCTACCTATCTATCCATTCATAAATTATTGTTTGTTAATACTATTGTTGCAGGATTGTCTATGTTATAGTAATTACTATAGTTGCCCTTTATTCATGCGTTCCTCTGAGCGTTCTTCCTTTGCCTTGGTCATGTGTGCTGACTTCCCCCATATTGTGTATTGCCTTTCTCTTCCCCAGTATTAACACATGTCTTCTATCTAGTTAGTAATTTTCCCTCTCTCCCTATCCCATCCTTGGTTACCATCAAAGAATTTTTTTTTCCTGTGTGTAAACCTTTTCTTGTTTTTTTATAATAGTGGTCTCGTACACAATATTTGTCCTTTTGTGATTGACTTAGTTCACTCAATATAATGTCTTCCTAATTCATTGATGTTGTAAGATGTTTCGTGGATTCGTCATTATCCTTTATTGTTGTGTAGTATTCCATTGTGTGTATGTACCACAGTTTGTTTATCCATTCATATTGATGGGCACTTAGGTTGTTTCCATCTTTTTGCTGTTGTGAGTAATGCTGCAATGAACATGGGTGTGCATATGCCTATTCGTGTCACAGCTCTTATTTCTTTAGGATATATACTTAGGAGTGGGATTGCTGAATCATATGGTATTTCTATTTCTAGCCTTTTAAGTAAGCACCATACCATTTTCCATAGTGGTTGTAGTATTTTACATCACCACTAGCAGTGTATAAGAGTTCCAGTCTCCCCACAACCTCACCAACATTTGTTATTTTCTGTTTTTTTGGTTAGTGACATTATTGCTGGGGTGAGATGGTATCTCATTGTAGTTTTGATTTGCATGTCTCTAATGGCTAACAATCGCTAACATTTCTTCATGTATTTGTTAGTTGCGTGAATGTCTTCTTTGGTGAACTGTCTGTTCATATCCTTTGCCCCTTTTTAAATTTCGATTGTTTCTCTTTTTGTTGTTGAGGTATTGGAGTATTCTATAGATTTTAGAGATTAGACCCTTGTCGGATATGTCATAGTCAAAATTTTTTCCCAGCCGTAGGTTCTTTTTTTACTCTTTTAGAGAAGTCTTTTGATGAATATAAGTGTTTAATGATTAGTAGGTCCCATTTATCTAGTTCATCTTTTGCTGTTCATGCATTTTTAGTTTGGTATTCTATTTATGCCATATATTAGGACCCTTAGTGCAGTGGTTAAAGCAGTAGACTGCTAACGAAAAGATTGGTGGTTCGAAACCACCAGTGGCTCCGTGGGAGAAAGATGTGGCAGTCTGCTTCTATAGAGGTTTACGGCCTCAGAAACCCTGTGGGGTCACTATGAGTCAGAATTGACTCTATGGCAGCGGGAGCGTTGTCCCTATTTTTTCTTCCATGATCTGTATATTTAGGTCTTTGATCCATTTTATATTTACATTTAGGTCTTTAGGTTTTCTATTTAGGTCTTTGATCCATTTTGAGTTAATGTTCGTGTACGGTGTGAAATATGGGTCCTGTTTCATTTTTCTACAGATAGACATCCAGTTTTGCGAGCACCATTTGTTAAAGAGACCGTCTCTTCCCCATTTAATTGACTTTGGCCCTTTGACAAAGATCAGCTCTCCATGGGTGGATGGATTTACATCTGGGTTCTTAATTCTGTTCCATTGGTCTATGTGTCTGTCACTGTACCAGTACCAGACTGTTTTGACTACTGTGGCTGTATAGTAGGTTCTGAGATCAGGTAATGTGAGGCCTCCTACTTTGTTCTTCTTCAGTAAGGCTTTAATTATCCTGGGCCTCTTTCCTTTCCATATAAAGTTGATGATTAGTGTTTCTATCTTGTTAAAGAATGTTGTTGGAATTTGGATAGGGATTGCATTATATTTATAAATAGCTTTGGGTGGTATTGACATTTTCACAATGTTTAGTCTTCCTGTCCATTAACATAGTATGTTTTTCCATTTATGTAGGTCTCTTCATTTCTTGCAGTAGTGTTTTGTAGTTTTCTTTGTACAAGTCTTTTACATCCCTGGTTAGATTCATTCCTAAGTATTTAATCTTTTTAGGGGCTATTATAAATTGTATTGTTTTCCTGATTTCCTTTTCGAAGTTCTCTTTGTTAGCATAGAGGAATCCAACTGATTTTTGTATGCTGATCTTGTATCCTGCTACTTTGCTGAATCCAGGAAGTACATTTTTTTTTTTGGAAGTACATGTTTTTATGAAAGTTTTCTTCTCAAAAATGGGATCACTTTATGTTGAAGTCTGAATTAAGTACAGTTTGATTAATGCTATCCTAGTCCATTTAAGTTTATATCTGTGTTAGAAATTGTAATAATAGCCATTTATTCATTCACCAGAGACTTATTGAATATTTAATTTGTGCCAGAATGGTGATTCTAGGTGCTGGGTGCAGAGAAGGGATCAAGTTATAGTTCCTCCCCTCAAGGAGCTTATATTTCTAGTGCATGAGACAGACAATGAACAAATACATAATATAAAATATTACATAACTTAAATAATATATTCCAAAATAGAAACTATTTCTTCGAAAATAAAGCAAGGTAAGGACATAGGGTGATGTTGTCAATACAGTGTTGATGGAAGGACTCTCTGTGGACTTAACGTTTCAGACTCTGAACAAAGTGAGGGAGTGATACAATATCTGGGGGGAGAATATTCCAAGCAGAAGAAACAATAAATACAAAGGATCTGAAGCAGAGATAAGCTTGAAGAACATCAGGAAACAGCAAGAAAACAAGTGTGACTGGGAGTAGAGTGAGCATGGGAAAGTGAAATAGAAGATGTGATAGGAGACATACCAGGGGTCAGATTGTGTAG